CCATCTCTATCTTTACATTCGCCATGAACATAATAAGAAAGGAGGAACGGATATTGTGTTAGGATTTCAGATCTCCCTTTGTTTTTCCTGTGATGCTCAGGTGTCTGTTAGGATAAATGGCTGCTTCACCAACTTTTAACCAGACACTAGCTTTACTGCCATATTTTCATTCTGTAAGAGTTCAGAAGTCATTTTAGGGCAGCATTTTATGCTCACGAAAAAGCCAAGAAGAACAACTGTCAGGATTAAAATAAAATAAAAATAAATTATTAACTGTTTTCAAAAAGACGCAGGCTCAAATGGTGGTGGTGGAGGCCATGTGGCATTTGTTTAGATATGTGACAGTGATAGTGATACGATGCAGGATCGTGTGGCGTTCTACAGAAGCAAAGAAGCAACGTCAGCGGTGTGGTGGTCTTTTCACAATGTTGAATGGGTAACAAACTATATATAAGCAAAAATGCAACAACAGCGATATCAATTTTAGATCTATAGCTGACCAAATTGTCATATAGGTGCAGCCCAACTTGGGTTAAAAAACAAAAAATAGCGTACAAAAGCTCATTTGGTGGGGCAGATTTATCCAGTGTTCAGCACTTCAATATAAATTCTGCAGAGTAGAGAAGGACAGGCAAGTTTAGCTGGTTTGGTTTCATCAACCCTGGAAAACTTCGACTTTTATTCAGTGGTCTTTCCAGTTCCTCACAGGGGAACACACAAGAAAGACAACCATACAATCAAAGTCACTCCTAAGAGCCAGTTTAAATTACTCTGAAATAAATCAGTAAAAAAATAAAAAATAATAAGAATAAAAAAATAGGATAGTTTTTGAAGGATTTCAAATGTGAAATTTTCAGATTAAAATAAATTAGCTGCTCATGTAGGACCCCTGCTAGTCTTTGGACCTGCTTCTTAGTTTGCTTTTTCCTCAGGCCGGCTTGGTGTCTGACATAGTTCATAACCCAGTCATGAGGCTAATAAGAAAGCATGCATCATGTCCAGTTTAACCGGCGTTACAACTATCATAAAAAAAATATCATCTTGGTCCTCATGGATTTTATTTTGCTACTGGGAGAAACTTGTCCCTCTTATTGTGCTCCAGGCTCAGCTCACTGAGATTGTTTTTGTACATCAGGGCTCATTTGCATGCAATCTGGAGCGTCTGGCCAGGGCTACATCATAAAATATAACTCATCAGCGCGAGTAGGTCGTCTACCAACTCAGTAAAGCTGTCACCATACTGCGAATACAGCAGGAATGAGTGCTGGCGACGGGACGAGCGTGGAGTTAAAAGATCCTAGTCGGTTGCAGCCAGCAGAGGATTCAGGTTGAAGTGGATGAGCACATGCTGGAAACATATCCGCACACAAAGACCACAACTTTTATTATCATAAATAAAGTCGAATGTGAGGTTTTTGTGATCATATGAACAAAGCTTCTTCTTTTTTTTCGCAATCATCGATTATGCGGCAGGTTTACAGGCAGGTGCTGCTCAAACTTGCACTAAAGGCGAATAATAATAAGCAATAAACTTCCATGTGTAGATTAACAATCCTTATATCTGTAACATATCAGACAGATGAAGGATACTAATTCTCGATTAGGTCAGGTGTTAACCTTGAAAAAGCCGTAACCTTGTAGGTGCGGGCTAATTGAGGAGTGATATACAGCTAGCAAATTACTGAACAATAACCGCTGCCAAGAACGTGCTCCGTCACGCGCCCAGGCTTTTCCAGAAAAAAAAAAAAAAAAAAAAAAAAAAAAAAAAACTAAAAAAAAAACCACGGGCGATGTTTTAATATTTTTAAAGCC